CCTCCCGATACATAACTTTCGTGAGAATAATGGATTCTAGTGGGTCGGGGTACACGTGTGTATTGGATGTGACAAATCTTCGGTATTGTTTTTGATAATATATCTTGAAAGATTTGGCCGTTCCTCCCCTCCCCTGCGTGTGTTGATCCTACCCTTCTTTGGACAGGATGATGGTGTCGCAAACTACTATGGCCTTTCCCGAGAGCGCGATGGTGTGGACCAGCTTTGGGTTGTTTCCGTCTCAGATCTCAAGGCGGAAGCGGCAAGGCCGTACAGCAGTGTTCCCGCGGGCTGGGCCGAGGAGTACCACGAGAACGGGACGTGGGGTTTCCGTCGTACTGATACAGGGGTGCCCATTTCCGTGAGGGGATCTGCAGCACTGTGTCGCCCAAATTGTCGATGTAGATATGATTCAGGTCATACGAGTCTCGGTCCTAACCCCGGTCTTTTTGTTCACCATCGACTTGAGCCTTTCCCTCAAGGCACCCTTATCGCCCCCCTTTTCTGCACTTTTGTCCTTCCTCTGCTTCACAACTTTTTGAGCGTTGGACAATTTCTTCGCGTAGTCGGCCATGAGCATGTTGTGCCACTTCAGTATGTTCAAGTCGAAAAGCACACCATAGCTACGCATGACTATTCCCTTCCCGGCTTCCTTCCGAATAGAATCTACACAGCGGCGAAAAGCCATCTTCACCGGCGTGGCGCTAGACACGACCTCCAATATCTTGGCGGGAAGGTCACCTTGGTATGTGGCAAACAGCGCCGGTTGCTTGAGCGCGTGAAGGTACCCGTCCTCCAGCGTGTACACGAACTCGAAGAACGATGCGTCGGCAACGATGAGACTAAGACCTCGCCATTTAACGTTTCTCCTGTCCACCTCCCTTTCCAACCCTTTCAGCCCGGGATGCACCTTCACAAACTGGGCGGCATCCTCATACTGGTGACTATTGACAAAACTTGTGAACGCTGGACCATCCCTCTTGTGTCTCGTCACATGAGAGAGGGCGCCCGGACAGGAAATACACTACTTCACGCCGATCCTGGTCCAAGTCGTACCGGGTAGTAGGGTACTCCACCCTCAATATGTTCACCTTGGTGATCTCGTCCGCCAAGAATTGCCACGTGGCCTGCACGAAGTGGATTACAGGGAAGCGAGACCTTGTTTATTACGCGAGGGAACCGACATATACCGCTGAACAACGCGTGGGGAAAAAGTTGCAACTTCAGAATACAACAAAGGTCTCTACGCGGAGCTTCCACATGACCCACCACCTCACCCGCTCACCTTGTCAACAAGATTGAACACGATACCGAGTCGCCGCACCGCTTCATCCTCATGTTTCACTAGCGTGACGGCAGTTGCATAAGTCCGGTCGTCCCTCAGAAACTCTTGCATCATGCGAGGGCGAACCAGCCTCCGCTGGCTCGAGAAGGCAGCTACCCGCCGAGAGTCAGGGGCCTTGCCAACACTATCGCGCAGGAGCCCCACAAGGAAATCCCACCACGACAAAATCGTAGCTCCCAAGCAGTTCGTGTCGCTGAGTTTCTGTGCCAAGGGCATCACAAACTCAGCGTGTTCTGAACGCTCCTTGAGAACCTGTTTGATAACCGGAGAAACAACACCACTTCCTTTGGGAAGCACCACCAGTGTGGCCTTTGCCCTTCCGCGTAGGTCTAATCGTTTACAACGGGGGGTGCACATGGGCGAGAGGGATACAGGACGAGATGAGGCTTTGCCGACATGGCCGTCTTCCTTCATGACTACAGGTGGCGCAGGATATGACACACGATGTTGGGCGATATTTGGATGGGAAGTAAACAACCGCCCCCCCCACCACCACTTCTGTTGAATCTCTTTCCATTCACATCCGTCCAAATGAAAAGTGAACACAACCTTGGTGTCAACCGTGGGTTCATCTTCCTCAGCGCTCTCAGGCTTCCTTTGACGCTGCCCTTCCCGTATGTTGTCTATGACGTGCACGATCTCCCTCGTCTCTTCGTCGTCATCGTCACCGTCAGCCATAACTAAACGGCGACGCACGTTTTCTTCTGCGCAGCAAGGGAGAAGACCGTGTGGGTGCGAGGTAAAAAAACAGAAAAAAGAACAAACAAACCGGATAGTTTCGACAACAAGTGCCATGCACGCCGATGAACTACTTCACGGCAGCGGCAAACTCCAATTGGCGACGACAACGCGTTCGAAGTGCCAACGCTCGGCGACTGGTGCTACGCACGAAACCCTTGATGAATGGGCAGGACACCTGTCGACGCTCTCACCGGCATTGCAACTTTCCTCGTCCCCTTCGCCCTCGCTGGGTGCCCTCTCGTCCCGCTCCGAACCCCCGTCGCTATCGCCGTCCTGGTACAGCAATAAAGCGGATGGTCGCCAGCGATCTAGAACGCAAGGTTGCAGTAAGGTGCATTAACGATTAATCACGCGAACAAGTGCCCACCAAATCTTTCCGGTACGCTGACACCTGTATGCTATTCGAGTGATGGACTCACGTTCTCAAGCCGGAGATGGCTGAGCCCCACAGCAGCAAAGGCTTCGTCTGCCTCTCCTGCTAACATTCCGCCCTCCACCTGGCGAGCAGTTGCCATCGTACCAGTCCTGTGAGGACAAGTGGCGTCCGTTCAAACAACCCGCACCAGAGCCCTAATCCTTTTTAAGAGGTGTACTATACAATGGCGAAGGACATGCATGGCTTTTCATCCATCGGAAATCGCCTTGAGCACTCGAGAAACTACCTCGCATGATCAAGGCGGAATATTCATGCTACGGGGATGTAGCCGAAGACGGAAAAATAAAAAATAATTATCGGCGTATGCGAGTGATGGGCTATGCCCGGCGTTGTGAAACAAAGGCCATGTCCGCAGACACGCATCAATAACCCCATCGTTCAACAGGAAGGAGAGACAAACGCCAGAAGGTAACCTAACTGAAGGGATGTCAAGCACAGCAGCTGCAAGCTGGCCCACACCCCAAACATTCCTTTCTCCAGGGGCTAACATATTACACGCATGGCAGATGTTACCCCAGGTCAGTAGTGGTGATACAACCTCCNAAATAAAAAATAATTATCGGCGTATGCGAGTGATGGGCTATGCCCGGCGTTGTGAAACAAAGGCAATGTCCGCAGACACGCATCAATTACCCCATCGTTCAACAGGAAGGAGAGACAAACGCCAGAAGGTAACCTAACTGAAGGGATGTCAAGCACAGCAGCTGCAAGCTGGCCCACACCCCAAACATTCCTTTCTCCAGGGGCTAACATATTACACGCATGGCAGATGTTACCCCAGGTCAGTAGTGGTGATACAACCTCCGTAAACCACAACACACACGATCGCCCAGGCGCTCCCCAGCAGCGCGTGCACAATGATCAGAGGACAGCGATCAGAGGGGCGGCAACACATCCGCAGGCAATGCCGCGATTTCACTTCCATGGCCCATCCCCGTTTTTTCCCCCTCAAATAGAGAGGCAACGAACCCACCCCTCACAAAACAACGGTCATAACACCTACGCCCTTGCCCTCAGCGCACGTCCTTCACCAGTAAATCTCCACGACACACCAGAGCCCAGGTGGGTAGATGGGTATCCCTACCGGCCCGCTGCTCTCCTCTCTCAGTGCGAGGGGATCGAACGAGGTGGTCTGCCCACGTAGGTTTTTTGCACACTCAGGAGGCGTTTTTTTCTGCACAAGGAGGGGTCCATCCTGACGACGCCAAATCATATGATTGTTCTCGAGTGCGCCTCCTATCTTTTCTTTGGGGTATACCTTTGTCTGCAGCTCGGAACAATTCCAACTACCAAAGACACGTCGGGAGATACCCCGAAGATCCACGCCTGTGGAACGGTCACTTGTACACATTGTTGCTCTCAAACCATACATGAGTACTACCGAATTAGCGTTCGTAAGGATGACATGATCCACCTGACGGACAGCCTCTTCGGTATTGGTGGTAGAGGTAGTCTTCCCTAGACTTTTTTTTTTTTCTTTCTCCCATCGTCGGATTCTGTCGTCTGCCCCTCTGGCCCCTATCCTCCACTTCTACTAGCTAGACGACCCAACCGGGGTCACATGGGAGGGGGGGGCTGGACATCCTCCTGCGGTTCCTGCCTGAGTTATTTTTATCGCGAGAAGGGTGCAGCAATCCTTTCCCTCGCGGCTTACGAAGTCGATGATGGTTTACTAACAACGAGCTTTGCAACGCGTCGCTTTCATCCTAGACCAGGATTCATTTAGTGAGAAAACTATATATAGAGCTGGCCCTCCCTTTCCGCGTCTGTTGGCCTCAATACGTGCTTGTGGCTGTTGCCGCCAAAGCTGGCCAATTTCGCTCGAGTTCGCTGGTTTTATCGCAAAAAATGTGGCGCTTTGGGGGGGGGTGGACTCGCTTCGTCCCCTACAGGTCAAAAATTACCTGAAAAATTTGGCATGGACGTTCATGCCATTCTCATCTCCCACAAACGATGAATTTGCAAATTTGAATTTTCATGTGCGGCAGCGGCGGGTCTGTATTCCGTGCTCACGGAGCCCCCTCGTACACTTCATAACTTACCGCCGCGCCCCTGGCGCTGATGGTAGCATAGTAACACGCGCTCTCACTCGCACCGAAAGTACCGCGAACACCTCTACAGCGCCTGACACACCCCAACGAGGACCATCTTCCCAAGTAGAACCCTCGCCCCTGCAGTAGTGTCGGCAAACGACCACACTTTCCTCGCCCACCACTACCGTCGACCCTCCCTCGCCCTACCACTGACACCCCCAAAAGCGCGGGTGGGTGGGTGAGAAAGGAAAAGATCTCCGAAATATCTCTTGGCTGCAGCAACCTCACGCTATCTTGTTTGTTTGGGACAGACCAGCAAGTGCACCCATGTCTACTCTTCTCGTCAGATTTCAGACAATTCACGCTGACTTCATGCTGCTGCTCGCTGATTGGCCAACTACTATTATTTCACCTTCCGCTCCTTACAAAACTCAGATTTCAACGCCTCTGTCTCTGCAATCTTCTGCTTTGATCGTTGCTTTCGAACATTGGATTATCGGTCGTACCCCCCCACGCTTGACCAGGGGGGGGAGAGAAGAGTGGAACACGGGGATAGCACACCTCTCCCCGTTCCACAACACCATCAGCATAAACCAGTCAAAGCACCATCAGGCATACTCTCAAAGCAATGAGTGCACCCGATCCTCCTCACATTTTCTCCCCCCTTTCCGTGGTTCACCTCGGTACCGACCAACCCATTTCATCCCCAGCACCTTTATGGCATCCTTTCACCGGCGCCCGGGACAACATTTCCCCACTCTGTGCCCTGTCTCGGTTGCCTCACCACATCTCTCTCAGACGCTAGTGTACTTGAAACCCACTCTGCATCCTTCCCATGGTTCATTACAACCGGCCGATACCCCGTTTCCCCAGCACATCTCCCTTCTCGTCGAACAACTTCTGGCGACGCTCCCCCCGCTGCAAAGTACGTGGCACCCCCAACACGAAGGGAATACAACGCGTACTCCGACGCCGGCAGACCCGCCAACGACACAACTTGCCGCAGCGCCTCCGTCCCATGACGCCGGGTCCACGAGGACCACCGCCCCTCCCCGGCACCAACCGCGACCAACGGGGTAGACGAGGATAAAGAAGGGTAGCATGACAGGAGTGCAATCATCACATCCACTGCACCCCCCCCGTACTCAACAGGTCGGGGAGGCCCTTGCCTCGCCCGTGTACACACGACACCTCTCCGAATTTTTCGCCTTTCGACGACCGAAAAAAGGGGCTGCGATACTTCCACATCGCCCACACACCAGAGCGTTCATGAAGGGCACGCGTTCAATTCTCACGCAAGCGACAACCGGTAAGCCAAAGAAACCTTGACGGCGGGAAAATTACCAGCCATAGTCGTATACCGCACCCCAGCACGGAAACGGCCGTTGCAACGTACCCCAGCAACTGCGAAACAACATCGGGCGATTTGGAAGGGTCTGTGATATTATGACTACACGCCGCCACGCTCCATCCACGCGGATATTCACCCATGCACTTAAAACAGCCCACGACAATCGTTCAGACGACAACACAGGTGCGTGGCAGACGAGCTCGAACCCAGCCTCTCGGAGCATATCTCACGAATGGCCGACCTAAGGTCCACATCCGGACTATCATGGATGGTGGGTGGTTTCCTCTACCACGCCGAGCTCGAACCAGCATCTTGGAGCACAACTCGCGCATGGCCGAACTGAGCTCGCCATTCTGCAATGAAATTTCAGGGCAAGCAGTATTAGGTTAGCGTGAACGTTACAACGGTCTCCACAACAGAGACCGTCAACAAGCAAACAAATACAGTCCACCAGATCGGCGATGCTTGCTACCAACCAGTGGACACATCGATAGCATCATTTCAGTGCAAGCAGCACAACGTTAGCGCGAACCTTGCAACGGTCCCCACAACAGAGACCGTCAACAAGCAAATTCAGTACACCAGCACAACGTCGCGTGCTACCAACCGTTGGACACGCCGATAGTCCCCACAGCGCGCAAAAGCGTGCCCGACCGAGGCGTCTCCGCAACGCGACACC